AACGAAGTACGGCCGCGGCCGCGCAGCGCCTCCAGACCCAGCAGGGACAGCACCAGTACTCCCAGCAGCAGCACCAGCGCCAGCAGCACCTCCAGCTCCAACAGCGCCACCTCCAGCACCCTCAGACGCACCAGCGCCAGCAAAACCACCAGCGCCAACACCCCCAGCAGCTCCAGCTTCAGCAGCTCCAGCTCCAGCACGACCGGCAGCTCCATTACCGCCAGCAGCTCCAGCAGAACCTCCAGCAGGACCAACTCTAGCAGCCCCAGAAGCACCCCCAGTCCCAGCAGCTCCAGCACCGCCAGTACGAGTACCTCCGGGACCAGCAGCAACAGTAGTACCTCCAGCTCCAGCAGCACGGCTCCAGCGCCGGGCAAACCACTCGCGCAGCTCCTGCGGAGAGAGTGGCTCCCGCCTCAACAAAGCACCGCAAGAGGCCACACGAGTAGACCCAGCACCCCCAGGCTCCGCACCCCCAGGCTCAGCACCCCCAGGCTCAGCACCCCCAGACTCAGCACCCCCAGGCTTAGCACCCCCAGACTCAGCACCCCCAAGCTCATCACCCCCAGGATCCGCACCACTGGACTCAGCACCCCCAGGTTCCGCACCCTCAGACCCGGCACCCGCAGGCTCAGCACCTCTAGCAGCACCAGAGTCAACAGCTACCTGGACAGGCTCGACTGCGTCTACCTGGGACACACCTGACGGGGCAGGACCCTGAGGGGGGAGGGGGTCTACCGGGGGAGGACCAGGCGCAAGGAAGAGCGGCGGCTGGGGGAGGGGCGCAGTGCGGTAGGGGAAGAGACGGTAGTAGGCACCGACTCCTCAAAGGTGACGTCCTGGGAGGACAGAACACGGCGCGAGGTGGGGTGGTAAAACTGCCACCCAGGCGCGTCAGGGGGGAAGCCAAGGAAGACGCAGGGAACAGCACGGGGGGACAGCTTGTCCGCAGACAAGTCGCGGACAAACGCCCGAGATCCCCAGACCCGAAATGCAGACACATCGCCAACCTTCCCCGTCCACCGCAAGGTGGGGGAGGTCTCTGTCAAGGAGACCCGGGGCTGGAGGTTGAGCTGATGCGCTGCGTACTGAACCGCAAACGGCGACAGAAAATGGGGGGCAGCCGGATGGATCATGGACGTACGAGCGACGTCCATGACCATGCCAATGCGGCGCTCAACAATCCCATTTTGCTGTGGAGAGGCCGGAAGCGTGAATGTCTGGCGGATGCCCTGTGCTCGACAGAAGGCTCCCAGACGGGCAGAGGAAAACTCCCCGCCTCTGTCAGAGTGCAGACGCAGAACAGGAAAGTCCGAGCCGAAACTCTCTCTGAGCTGGAGACGAGCCGCCCGGATCTAGTCGATCAACACCTCAGTGACGTCACCCTTGCTGCGCAAGGGGAAGACTGTGGTGTAACGCGAGTAGTCGTCAACCACCAACAGGAAGTAACGCTCGTGCCCCTGGCCACGGACGCGGGCGGGGCCCCACACGTCCATGTGAAGATTCTGCAGCGGAGCCTCTGTCGGAGGAAACGCGGAGGAGTGAGGGGCGGCGCGCTGTCGCCCCTCGACGCAGGGGACACAGGTAGGGGCAGGCCCCAGAGGTAGGGGAGGGAGAGACCGGGGGAGACCAGAGACAAGGACACGGGAGGCCAAGCCTCGGAGACGAGGCAGGGAGCGGTGACCAAGGCGGTGGTGCCAAAGGAGAGTCTGGTGGGACAGGAGACGGCACGAGCAGGGAGCAGACTCAGGACCAGACCTGGACGCTGCAGCAAACACCTGACTCGACGCAGCTACCTGACCAGACTCAGCAGCCGGAGGAGACTCAGTAGTAAGTGTGTACAGGCTCGACCCCGGCCGACGGGTGAACATGGCCTAGTGTCGGCCTATCCGAGCACACGTGCAGTGGGTCACCCGCTGACTCGCAGGAGTGAACTGGTCAACCCCCCTATCCTGTAGATCAGCTCCACTCACCAAGTTCGTAGAGAACGAGGGGAGGTAGAGACCTGACAGAGTGCCAGAGGGGGTTGCCGGGCACGATAAGACAGTGGAGAAGCTAGCAAGGACAGGACCCCCAGAGGGGTCGGCCAGGGAGACCGCAACCGGCCGACTAAGCGGCGTAAGCATGGTGCGGTCTCGAAAGAAGGAGCGGGAAGCACCAGAGTCAAGGGTGAAGGTGTGTAAGGCCTGAGCCGACCTAGTACCTGAGAGAGCAGACTCACCAGCACCTGGAGAAGAAGACGCACTAGCACCTAGAGCAACAGCCTCACCAGCACCTAGAGCAGCAGCCTCAATGCCCGGGTCAGGCGGAACACACAGGTAACAGTCACCCTTAACACTATCAGACACAGCATACATGGCAGCAAGAATAGCATCATAATCAAGATCAAAGATAGCAACCCCCGCCCTAGACAGCTCTCCCCAGCGAGGGATCTCAGAGGCCTCAGGCAACTGGTGACGCCACGCGTCCGTCAGGCGGCCGAAGCAGCGCTAGGTGGAGTGCGGGCCTCCGCACTACTCACCAGCGCGGTAGCCGGTACGGAGGACGTAGGTGCAGGGACCAGTACCCCCACCGCGCTGACGCGCAGCGTACCACTCACGAAGCTGCTGAGGGGAGAGGGTCTCACGACTGCGCTGCTACTGCTGGCGCGGACCACCACCGGACCCACTCCTTTGCGCAGAGCCGCGACCAGCTCCACCGCTGCCGCCGCCGCCTCCGCCACCTCCGCCGCCTCCGCCACCTCCGCGGCCTCCGCCACCTCCGCCGCCTCCGCCACCTCCGCCGCCTCCGCTCCCTCCGCCACCGTCGCCGCCTCCTCTGCCTCCACTGCTGCCACCGACACCTCCACCCCCGCCACCAATCCCACCACCACCCGCACCCCCTCCACTGCCTCCATTACCACCTCCACCGCCCCCGCCAGCCCCTTCAGCGCCCTTGCCCCCCTTGCCCTTGCCGGTGCGGCGTCTCCCGCTAGGGGCAGACGCAGCGCCAACCGACTCGAAACCAACGAGGTCGGCCGCAGCAGCAGAAGCAACAGAGGACAAGAGGGGGGAGGGGGAACACCCCTCAAAGACGGGGGTGCGAGGGTCACCACGAGAGGCTCCTACAGCGAGTATGCTCCTCTCTGCTGCTAGGAGGCGCTCCTCGAGGAGGTCAACGGTGAGTGTGGTGGGGCAAACTGAGAGGACGTGGTCCCTGACTAAGCGAAGGGAGTCAGGGAGCCGAGTGACTATGTAGTAGAGGGTGATGTACATGGGGGGGGGGTTCTTGGCACAGAACTCAGCAGGAAGCGCAGCGCGGTAGCGAGTGTCACTAGTGAGAAGGTGCGTAATGAGGTCAGCGATTGTGGGAAAGGCAGCAAGGTCAGGGAACAGGTACGGCAGCATGAGGCGGCTAAGCGCAGCATTGGCAGGGGAGGAGTAGCGTGCAACTACAGCGTCGTACAAGGTCTTAGCACTCTTGTACTGACTAAAGTGCGCATGCTCGGTGGTCGGTAAGTGGCGACGCACAGCAAGGCGGGCAGCAGCATCGCGTGTGGCCCACTATGAGCGAACAGTGCTGTCACCAGTAGAAGGCGGGGCAGGAGAGGCACCAGAGGTGAGATCGAACAGAGAGAGTCCGTCTGCCCTATCGCACTGTAGGAACAGCTGGAGGTCATTGACCCAGACCTCAAAGTCAACAGCACGACCCTCAGCATCAAAGGTAAGGACACCGGGGGTAGCCATGACCGCAGTGGCCTAGCAGGGAGGGAGCTCACCAGTCCGAGTAAGTAGGGCCGGGGCGCGCCGGTAGGAATAGTAGTGGCTCGACGGAAGGGCAGCTCAGCGGCTCGGCTGCTGGGCGGCTCGGTTGCTCGGTTGCTGGGCGGCTCGGCGGCTCGTCTGCTCGGCGGCTCGGCGGCTCAGCTGTTGGGCGGCTCGGCTGCTGGGCGGCTCGGCGGCTCGGTTGCTTGGCGGCTCGGCGGCTCGGCTGCTGGGCGGCTCGGTGGCTCGGCTGTTGGGCGGCTCGGCTGCTGGGCGGCTCGGCTGCTTGGTGGTTCGGCTGCTCAGCTACTGGGCGGCTCAGCGGTGAAGGGGCCGATAGAGGCGGCGACGGGGCCGGTAGAGGCGGCGACGGGGCCGGTAGAGGCGGCGATGGGGCCGCTAGGGGCGGCGACGGGGCCGCTAAGGGCGGCGAGGTGGTCGCGAAGGGGGGGCAGCGACGGGGCCGCTAGGGGCGGCGACGGGGCCGCAGAGGGGCTGCAAGGGGCCTAGAGGGGCGGCGACGAGGCCGCGAAGGGGCCGTAATGTGCCTAGAGGGGGCGGCATAGGGCTGCAAGTGGCGGCGACGGGGCCGCGAAGGGGCCGCGAGGGGCCTAGAGGGGCGGCGACGGGGCCGCTAGGGGCGGCGACGGGGCCGTGAAGGGGCCGCGAGGGGGCCTGTAGGGACGGCGACGGGGCCTAGAGCGGCGGCGACGGGGCCGTGAAGGGGCCGCGAGGGGCCTAGAGCGGCGGCGGTGGGGCCGTGAAGGGGTCGCGAGGGGCCTAGAGCGGCGGCGACTCGGCCTAGAGCGGCGGCGACGGGGCCGTGAAGGGGCCGCGAGGGGCCTAGAGGGGCGGCGACGGGGTCGCTAAGGACGGCGACGGGGCCGCTAAGGGTGGCGCGAGGGGCCTCTAGGAGGGCGCAACGTGAGGGCGACCTACGGGGCACACCTCGGGCAGGAAAAAAAAGGTCGAGTTAGGTGGTGGGCCCTGAGAAGCGTTCCCACGAGGGAACCTGCTCTGATACCATGTGAAGAATGAGGAATGAATGAACTAGCACAAGGTTGGGTACAAGTAGGAAACCCTAGGAAACTGTACCCCATAGTGTCTACCCCACTATAGCCTAGACAAGCTATATGATATGAGTTTGACGATTCCTTCAAGAAGGAACAACCTCAGGAGAAGCCTTCTAAGGCGGATGCAGAGCCCCTCTCGCAAGACTCCAAAGCGCGCCAAAATTCCTTGTCCATTTCCAACCTTTCACCGCCGTGCACCTGACACGTCCAAGGAGTTGGTCCTCCTGTTCTGCCAGCGCATAGGCACTCCCTTGTCTTTTCGAACCACTCGCCTTCCCATAGCGCGGGTGTACACCTTCACATGCAGCCGAAATGCCGCCTCAATGCGCGTGAGAACGCGCCGAGCCCTGAACCTCCGCTCCCGAAACACGCAGTCACATCGTTCCGCCCAAATTTGGTGCACCGCAATAGCAGCCAGCGATGCCTCCGGGAAAGCTGAGGTGGATTCTACCTTTCCGAACAGCAGATCCCCCAAATCAGCCACCTGCCTCCCCGGGTTGAGCATGCGCATGGCTCGTTTGACCGCTCCCACCACCAGTTGAATCCTCGGGCAGGTGAAAAGGCAGTGCTCGAGGGACTCAAACTCCCCACAGTGGGGGCAAACCAGCTTGCCACTTAGGAAGGAGAGCCGCTCTCCCACCTGCAGATTGAGGCTGTGAATCCTTAGGAGCACGTCACGCGGTCTATTCGGTGTCACCAGGGAATCCCGAATCTTGATGACATTTTTCCAGTCGATCAACCCTGCCCATCTGTCTGCCCACAGCTCGCATTTGGCGGACTGATGCTTCTGCCGTTGCCAGCTCCCCTTGAGCTCCCTTAGCGCAGCCACTTGCCCATTTTCCACCACCGGTGTCCTCTGGAGCGGGGTGCGCAACGGCGGACGGGGGGACACAGCGTGCTCAGCAGACAGGAGCGCTGATTTCCAACTCTGCGGCACAGCCTCCCACGCCCTTAGAGCTAGCTTCGCCTGCTTAGAGCCACCTAGCTCCCTTGCTAGAGACTTCACGTCCTTGGCGCGCCGGCCCCCCGTGCCGTCCGGACATAGTAAATCCCCCAGCCGCACATCCCAGAGCTTCGCCGCTGCCTTCTGCCCTCCCACCGGAGTCGTTTTTTTTTTTTTTTTTTTTTTTTTTTTTTTGGGCTTTTAGGAGATCCCCGGAGGAAACCAACCCCCCGTAGGGAGAAGGCGCTTCGGCAAGCAGCATTATGCCGGCTGTGCATTTAGTTGCTAAAACCCCCATCGATCACCAGAAGCGCGTGCCCCATTTCGGGGACAGCCGTACCCGGATGGGCGTTGGCTTCAGAGGGTCCCACCGGAGTCGTGCCGTTCAGCAGAATCTGGCGGTTGAACACCAGCCGCTCCCTCTCTATCTCTTCCCGCGACAGTTCCAATGTCGTAACTGCCAGCGGTGATTGCATAAAGTCCCCACAGGCTAATTTCCATCTCTCGCTCTTGCCGCTCCAGCTCTTCAGAAGTTTGACATGAGAGACGAAAGTGTCCAGGCCCAGCGGCATTTCAGCCGCTTCGAGCATGATTTCCCGCTTCAGCTCGTTCGTCTCTGTGAGGAGCAGGCCGATACGCCTCGCCGTGAGACAGGTGAGGGTGATCTCCGGATCCTTGACCCCCACACCACCGTCCTCCCTCGCCATGTATAGCAGTTCTCTGCTCCATAGGATGAAACCCTTGTCTGTCGACGCGCGATTCCCTGACATGAAATTGTGTGTGATTTTCAGGATCCTCCCCCATACATCCACCGGCGGCGGGTACACCTGCGCCCGAAAGAAGATAATCGACGAGATGTAGCAGTTTATCACCGCCGCTCTCGCGCCGGTCGTGAGATGCTGTGTCTCCCACAGCCTCAGCTTCTCCTTTATCCTTGCGAAGGCTTTCTCCCATGTGGGAGCGCAGCTGCCGGACGGTGTCACCCAGACTCCCAACAGCCGCTCCGCTTCGTCCGCCTCCACTTAAAGCCATCCGTTCTGCTAGCCTGCTTGCCTAGGTTCCTCCCCAGTGGCAGCACTGCCGACTTGTCCTTATTCGTAGCCAGGCCCGAGTCCTTTTCAAAATCGTCTAACAGCTGTTGTGCTTCCGCAATCTGATATTTCCCCTGCAGCAGGAGCGTCGTATCATCAGCATATCCCAGGTAGGCCAGCCGCTGACTCCCCCCGGTAAGACCCAGCTTCCGGGTTGCCGCCGCCTGCGCCAGCGGTTCCACGGCACACAGGAACACGTAGGGCGCTAGGGGGCAGCCCTGTCGAACCCCCGACACCACCTCCACAGCTTCACCGAGCCAGCCGTTAACTAACAGCCTTGTCTGTGTTCCCTCGTGCAGGCCTCTAATCCAGCCGACAAACCTGCTGGGGAAGCCCATCCTTTCCAGCACCGTGAACAGATAGTTCCTCGAGACCGGGTCAAACGCCTTCCTGAAGTCCACAAGCAGGAGGTACCAGTCCTTCTCCTTGTTTTTGGCAGCATCAATCACGTCCGCGACCAGCCCCACCGCATCAGACAACCTCCGCCCTGGCAAAAAACCGTACTGCTTGGGCGAGATCACCTCATGCAGAAACCGCTTCATCCTATCCGCGACCACCCTGTCGAAGAGAAAGGCCCCGCCCTCGCTTGGGCGCAGCCGATCTCGTCGTCAACGGGAAGTTCTCGACAGATTGGTAGAAGAAGTAGTCTTCTGCAGTTTGACGGAAGTTGCAGACGAGCAAACTCTGCTTGACGGTATCTGGTCGACGAGCTCTGCGCGATGAGCTCTGGTCAACGATCTCTGCGCGACGAACTTCCGTCGAGGAACTCTGGTCGAGGAGTTCGAGTCAAGGAACTCTGGTCGAGGAGTTCGCGTTGAGGAACTCTGGTCGAAGAGTTCTGGTCGAGGAGCTCTGCTCGTCAAACTCTGTTCGACCGAGCGATGGCGAGTCCTTCGACCGAAGTTGCAGAGTTCTGCGAAACTCTGCGGATGTGTGCGAACTTTCGCCCAGGAGATTTTGGCGAAGTTCTACCTGCGGAACGGCAGAATGTGCTCGACGGTGTGCACCTGAAGAAACCGACGACACGTTTTCTACCTGGCACCTGCGCAATGTGCCTGACGGTGAAACCGCCAACCTGCACTGTCAGAATATTATCTTATGTTCTAGCCTGTAGTGGGGTGCTCTATAGCGAGTACAACCCTTCTAGGGTTTTGCTATTTGTATCCTCATTCCTGCTAGTTCAACCCTCTTTCTTCTTCTAACTTTTGTCATGCTATCAGAGCAGGTCGATCCCCTTGGATCGATCCTGTGGGTGGGTTTCCACCTCGCTTCCGCTGCTACCTTTCCTTCCCGCCGTGCGCCCCGAGGCGCGCGGCGGTTTTCCTTCCCGCCGTGCGCCCCGAGGCGCGCGGCGGTTTTCTGCCCGCCGTGCGCCCCGGGGCGCGCGGCGGTTCTTTGCCCGTTGTGCGCCCCGAGGCGCGCGGCGGGCGTCTGCCCTACCGTCGCGGCCCCGCCCTGCGTCGCGGCCCCGCCCCTGCGTCGCGGCCCCGCCCCTACGTCGCGGCCCCGCCCCGACCGTCGCGCCCCCGCCCTACAGTCGCGGCCCCGCCCTACGTCGCGGCCCCGCCCCGACCGTCACGGCCCCACCCTACGTCGCGGCCCCGCCCGACCGTCGCGGCCCTGCCCTACGTCGCGGCCCCGCCCTGTGTCGCGGCCCCGCCCCTCGAAGCGGCCCCGCCCTACTTCGCGGCCCCGCCCCTCGTCGCGGCCCCGCCCCTTTTCGCGGCCCCGCCCTCCAACCAGGCCCGTGGTGGGTCCCTTTCACCACCCCGCCTCCCCCCCCCCCCCCCCCCCCCCCCCCCCCCCTGCCATTTCCCGTCGCCCGTCGCGGCTCCTGAGGGGGCCGGGTGGCGGGTATGGGGGTGGCCGGTCTTCCTTCCTCCCTTTGCTCCTCCTCCTCCTTCGTCTCCCACTGCTGCAGCTGTCGCTGAGGGGGGTGGATGTGTGGGAGACTGGGTTTAGGGTTTAAGGGGGGTGTGTGGGAGTAGAGCTAGCGGTGTAGCAGTGGGTGTGTATCAGGGGGGTGGGACTGTGTGCGGGAGCATGAGCGGAGGTTGCCAGTTTGTTGTCAGCAGCACCTGTAGTCCGGGGCGCTGTCCCGGTAGCCCAGTGAGCTAGACTTCTACGCCAGCCGCCTGTGGGTCCGTTGCCCGTCCGCCGCTATTTGAGCCGCGGGGCCTGTTACTCCTGTAGTCCGGGCGCTGTCCGGTAGCCGCTGTGCCAGTCTGCCTCCTGCTGCCCGTGTGTCTGCAGCTTCAGCCGTCGCCTCCTATCTCCTCTCCCCTCACTCTCCCTCCTCCTCCTCACTTGCCCGTTGTGACTACCACTAGCTTTGCTTATAATTGTTAACTCTAAACTATTTCTTCTTGAACTTGTGCTCAGAATGTGTGGTGACATTGTGATCCACCCTGAGCTTGTATTGCTTTGCCTGCTCTGCTGATTACACCCCACTTTGGCTATGGGGGTGTGTCAGAATATTATCTTATGTTCTAGCCTGTAGTGGGGTGCTCTATAGCGAGTACAACCCTTCTAGGGTTTTGCTATTTGTATCCTCATTCCTGCTAGTTCAACCCTCTTTCTTCTTCTAACTTTTGTCATGCACCTACTTGGTAGGTGCGCACATCTGCGCAGATAGACAACATGCGACTGCAGCTGTTTACCTGCGATTGCAGATAGTCACCTGCGATTGCAGATAGTCACCTGCGACTGCAACGCTGGCAGACCGCGCGCAGTGCAACGTTGGCAGAACACTCTGCTGCAACGTTGGCAAGCCGCTCTTCTGCTGTGCTGGCAGATTTTGCCCTTGCTAGGAGTTGAATGCCCTTCTAGTTCCTTTTGTTCTGCATGCCTCAATTGTACTACCAACTTTTCATTCCAAGTTGTTCTTTTCAACTTCCTTAGTGGAAACTCTTGCAAACTTTCTCTGTGAACACAAGCAAGCAGTAAGAACGTTAGAACAGCGCTACGATCACCCGCACAACTCTGTGCCCTCCACCGTAGTCCACTTCCGTTGTGTAGTGACTCTCCGCACACCCTCGCCAGCACCTTGTAGGTGAAGCTTAGAAGATTAATCGGCCTGTAATTCTCAACTTGATCCCGGCCGCCCTTCTTGTGTAACAAAATGGTGACCGCGTCCTTCGTGCTTGCAGGAATCGACGAGGACGCGGTGAAGCTTTCCACCAATCCCATGAAATGTTTGCCCAGGACGTCCCAATGCGTCTCGAACAGTTCTTTAGGCAACCCGTCCCTGCCCGGAGCCTTGTTTTTCGCCATCGAGCGGAAGGCCTGCTGCACCTCCTTTTCCGACCAATCCGCCGCCACCCTCTCTTGTGCCGTCGGCGACAAGACCCTTCCATCAACCGGCTGCCAGTCTGTCAAGGCCTTCTATCTGTCCGTCCCGAAGAGGTCTCTGTAGAATTGAGAAGCCACGCCCAGGATCTCCTTGTTTCCAATGACCAGAACCCCCCCGGCGCTTAACTTCTTGATCTGTGTCTTCTCCTTCCTGGATCTTATATTCGCAGACAGGTGTGGGGAAGCCACCTCCCCCATGACCAACTCGTTCATTCCGGCCATCACATGCAGCCTCTCTTGCCGTGCGAGCCGATAACTTTTCAGCTGCGCCTCCCTCTCGTCCAGCAACTCCTTCAGCCGAGCACAGCTCGGGTCACCCAGCCAGGCCTGCTTCAAGTCAGCGACCGTGCGCTGAAGGTGAGCCATCGTGGCCCTGATGCGCTTCCTCTCCTCCGTCGCGTACACTCTAAGCCCGGCGTTTAACCTGGACAGCAACAACTCGAAATCATCGCCATTTGCTGCCACTTGCTTCTCTACCGCCTCGATGACCTTTCTGACCCCTGGTCTCCCGATCAAATATGCAGGGAGCCTCCAGAGGCCTGGTCCCATCTGCACCTTCGTATTCATCCGGAAAGCCGCCTTCACCGCAAAGTTGTGATCCGAGATGGGATCCGCCGGCATGATATGCGAGGCAAACTCCACGTGCGACAGCAGCGACTGTGAGACAAGCACCCGATCGATTCGTAAGCTGGACTGATTAGCACACGAGTAAAAGGTAAACTCCCTCCTGTAGGGGTGCAGCACTCTGAAAGCATCCGACACGTTGAACACACTGCACCGCTGGTACAGAACATCATTCTCCTTCGTTGTCCCTTTCTTTGACGTCCTGTCCAGTAGCGGGTCCTCCATTAGGTTGAAATCCCCCACTATAAGCAGGTGAGCGCCGGGGTGCACCGCATCAACCACCGGCCCCAGCACCCTGCTGATGAAGTGTTTCCTGTCCGTCACGTCCGCCGGGAAGTATACTGCCAGCAGGGTGACGTGGAAGGTGTCCAGATGGATGTCTGTCCTAATGAGTCTTCCTGACGGGTAAATGAGTGTATTATGCAGTGAGAGCCCATGCCTGCGACAAACCAAGGCCACTCCCCCGGCTTTTGCAGTTGGGGAGGCAACGAGAACCGTCGGGTGAGTTAACGACTTCCAGTATGGGTGATCATTCGCGAGTCTGGCGTCTGCGAGTACTGTGACATCAGCAGCTTGTTTTAACCATGTTTTCGTGCGCTGTTGCTTGTTCCCATCTCCCAGGCCGTTGACATTCAGGCCCGCCACTGACAAGAGACTCTTGTTACTCATTTAATCACTGCTCGAAAGCCTCTCCGCATCCACAGGCTGGTGAAACTGACGAAAACAACCACGTGACAATCGTCTACGGCAGCTGCTCTACTCCACCACAGGCCGGTAACTATAAGCCATCTCAGATCCCGAACTCCTTGCGGATGACATGCAGACCGAGCCTCTCCAGGGAACCGCGAGTGGCCGCACCCAGCTTCTCCAGCCCCAGCAGGTGACTTGCCGAGGTGATATGGTCTGCCGCCACCATGAAAGACTTGCCAAGGACCTTCCCGCAACATTCGAGAGTACACAGCCACCCCTCCCGGTTGCTTCTGTCAAACTTATATGCTATAGTCTGTGTAGGCTGTAGTGGGGTAGACTATATGGAGTACAACATTTCTAGGTTTTCCTACTTGTACCCACCTGCTTGCTAGTTCATTCATTCCTCATTCTTCACATGGTAAAGAGCAGGTTCCCTAGTGGGAACGCTTCCTTGGGCCCACCACTAAAAAAAAAAATCTGACCGGAGCGTCAGTCTCTCCTGCCCGAGGCGCGCCTTGTTCGCCGCCCTTTCTGGCCCCTAGCGACCTCGTCTCCGCCCCTACGCGGCCCCGTCGCCGCCCCTAGCGGCCCCAGTCGCCGCCCCTGGCGGCCCCGTCGCCGCCTCTCACCCTACGCGGCCCCGTCGCCGCCCCTACGCAGCCCCGACGCCGCCCCTAGCGGCCCCATCGCCGCCCCTACGCGGCCCCGTTGCCGCCCCTAGCGGCCCCATCGCCGCCTCTCACCCTACGCGGCCCCGTCGCCGCCCCTACGCGGCCCCGTTGCCGCCCCTACGCGGCCCTGTTGCCGCCCCTAGCGGCCCCGTCGCCGCCCCTAGCGGCCCCGTCGCCGCTCCCTTACCTACGCGGCCCCGTAACCGTCCCTAGCGGCCTCGTCGCCGCCCCTACGCGGCCCTGTCGCCGCCCCTACCGGCCCCGTCGCTGCTTCTCTTCCTACGCGGCCCCATCGCCGCCACTGCACGGCCCCGTCGTCGCCTCTACGCGACCCCGTCGCCGCCCCTAGCGGCCCTGTTGCCGCTCCCCTCCCTACGCGGCCCTGTCGCCGCCCCTAACGGCCCCAACGTCGCCTCTACCGAGCAGCCCAGCAGCTGAGCCGCCCAACAGCAGAGCCGCCGAGCCACCCAGCAGCCGAGCCACCGAGCCGCCCGACAGCCGAGCCGCCCGACAGCCGAGCCGCCCGATAGCCGAGCCGCCCGACAGCCGAGCCGCCCAGCAGCCGAGCCGCCGAGCCGCCCAGCAGCCGAGCCGCCGAGCCACCCTGCCGTCGAGCCCCTACTACTCCTACCGGCGCGCCCCGGCCCTACTTACTCAGACTGGTGAGATCATTCCCTGCTAGACCACTGCAGTCATGGCTACCCCCAGTGTCCTTACCTTTGATGCTGAGGGTCGTGCTGTTGACTTTGAATTCTGGGTCGATGACCTCCAGCTGTTCCTACAGTGCGTTAGGGCAGACGGACTCTCTCTGTTCGATCTCACCTCTGGTGTCTCTCCTGCCCCGCCTGCTACTGCTGACAGCACTGTTCGCTCACAGTGGGCCACACGCGATGCTGCTGCCCGCCTTGCTGTGCGTCGCCACTTACCGACCACTGAGCGTGCGCACTTTAGCCAGTACAAGAGTGCTAAGACCTTGTACGAAGCTGTAGTTGCACGCTACTCCTCCCCTGCCACTGCTGCGCTTAGCCGCCTCATGCTGCCGTACCTGTTCCCAGACCTTGCTGCCTTTCCCACAGTCGTTGACCTCATTACGCACCTTCGCACTAGTGACACTCGCTATCGCGCTGCGCTTCGTGCTGAGTTCTGTGCCAAGAACCCACCCCCCATGTACATCACCCTCTACTACATAGTCACCCGGCTCCCTGACTCCCTTCGCTTAGTCAAGGACCACTTCCTCTCAGTTTGCCCCACCACACTCACCGTTGGCCTCCTCGAGGAGCGCCTCCTAGCAGCAGAGAAGAGCATAGTCGCTGTAGGAGCCTCTTGTGGTGACCCTCGCACCCCCGTCTTTGAGGGGTGTTCCCCCTCCCCCCTCTTGCCCTCTGTTGCCTCTGCTGCTGCGGCCGACCTCGTTGGTTTCGAGTCGTTCGGCGCTGCATCTGCCCCTAGCGGGAGACGCCGCACCGGCAAGGGCAAGGGGGGCAAGGGCGCTGGAGGGGCTGGCGAGGGCGGTGGAGGTGGTGGTGGAGGCAGTGGAGGGGGTGGGGGTGGTAGTGGGAGTGGTGGCGGGGGTGGAGGTGTCGGTGGCAGCAGTGGAGGCGGTGGAGGCGGCGGCGGTGGCAGAGGGAGCGGAGGCGGCGAAGGTGGCGGAGGCGGCGGAGGTGGCGGCGGCGGCGGCGGCGGCGGTGGAGCTGGTCGCGGCTCTGCGCAGAGGAGTGGCTCCGGCGGTGGTCCACGCCAGCAGCAGCAACGCGCTCGTGAGACCTCGTCCCCTCAGCAGCTTCGTCAGTGGTACGCTGGGCGTCAGCGAGGTGGGGGTACTGGTCCCTGCACCTACGTCCTCCGTACAGGCGACCGTGCTGGTGAGCAGTGCGGGGGCCCGCACTCCACCCAGCGCTGCTTCGGCCGTCTGGCGTCACCAGTTCCCTGACGCCACTTAGATCCCTCGCTGGGACGTTCTGTCTAGGGCTGGGGTTGCTATCTTTGATCTTGATTATGATGCTATTCTTGCTGCCATGTATGCTGTGTCTACTAGAGATGAGGGTGACTGTTACCTGTGTGTTCCGCCTGACACGGGCATTGAGGCTGCTGCTCTAGGTGCTGGTGAGGCTGCTGCTCTAGGTGCTAGTGCGTCTGCTGCCCCAGGTGCTGGTGAGTTTGCTCTCTCAGGTACCACGTCGGCTCAGGCCTTACACACCTTCACCCTTGACTCGGGTGCTTCCCGCTCTTTCTTTCGAGACCGCACCACGCTTACGCCGCTTAGTCGGCCGGTTGCGGTCTCCGTGGCTGACCCCTCTTGGGGTCCTGTCCTTGCTAGCTTCTCCACTGTCTTACCGTGCCCGGCAGCCCCCTCTGGCACCCTGTCAGGTCTCTACCTCCCCTTGTTCTCTACGAACTTGGTGAGTGGAGCTGATCTACAGGATAGGGGGGTTGACCAGTTCACTCCTGCGAGTCAGCGGGTGACCCACTGCACGTGTGCTCGGACGGGCCGGCACTTGGCCACGTTTCCCCGTCGGCCGAGGTCGAGCCTGTACACACTGACTACTGAGTCTCCTCCGGTTACTGAGTCTGGTCAGGTAGTTGCGTCGAGTCAGGTGTTTGCTGCGGCGTCCAGGTCTGGTCCTGAGTCTGCGCCCTGCTCGTGTCGTCTCCTGTCCCACTAGACTCTCCTCTGGCACCACCGCCTTGGTCACCCCTCCCTGCCTCGTCTCCGAGGCATGGCCTCCCGTGTCCTTGTCTTTGGTCTCCCCCAGTCTCTACCTCCCCTACCTCCGGGGCCTGCCCCTACCTGCGTCCCCTGCGTCGAGGGGCGACAGCGTGCCGCCCCTCACTCCTTCGAGTTTCCTCCGACAGAGGCTCCGCTGCAGACTCTTCACATGGACGTGTGGGGCCCCGCCCCAGTCCGTGGCCAGGGTCACGAGCGTTACTTCGTGTTGGTGGTGGACGACTACTCGCGTTACACCACAGTCTTGTCAAATTATATTATTGTGTAGGCTTTAGTGGGGTAGCCCATATGGGGTACACATTTCTAGGGTTGCATATTTGTATCACTCTCATTCCATAGTCATTTCATTGCTCGTTCTAATTTCCACATGGTATCGAGCAGGTTCCCTCGTGGGAACTGTGCCTAGGGCCCACCACATCAAGATTTTTTTTCCTGCCCGGAGCGCGCTCCCCGAGTCGCGCTCCCCTCTCTGCCCTCGTCGAGCCGCCCTAGCGGCCCCGTCTGTCGCCCCTAGCGGCCTCCCTTGCGCCGCCCTTACGGCCCGTCGCGGCCCTTACTTGGCCCGTCGCCGCCCTTCACGGCCAGTCGCCACCCTAAGCGACCCGTCGCCGCCCTCCCTTGCGGCCCCGCCGCCCTCAGTTGCGGCCCCGCCGCCCTCACTTGCGGCCGTCGTCGCCCTCAGTTGCGGCCCCGTCGCCGCCCTCACCTGCGGCCCGTCGCCGCCCTTCCTTGCGGCCCCGCCGCCCTCACTTGCGGCCCCGCCGCCCTCGCTTACGGCCCCGTCGCCGCTCTCAGCTGCGGCCCCGTCGCCGCCCTCACCTGCGGCCCGTCGCCGCCCTCACTTGCGGCCCCGCTGCCTTCACTTGCGGCCCGTCGCCGCCCTCAGCTGCGGCCCATCGCCGCCCTCCCTTGCAGCCCTGCCGCCCTCGCTTGCGGCCCCGTCGCCGCCCTCGCTTGCGGCCCCGTCGCCGCCCTCACCTGCGGTCCGTCGCCACCCTCACCTGCAACCCCGCCGCCCTCTGTTGCGGCCCCGTCACCCTCGGTTGCGGCCCCGTCGCCGCCCTCACCTGCGGCCCGTTGCTACCCTCACTTGCGGCCCCGCCGCCCTCAATTGCGCCCCCCCCCCCCCCCCCCCCCCGCCCTCAACTACTGCAGCGCCGCCCGAGCCGCCCGAGCCGCCTCACCCAGCCGCGCCGCCCTGCAGCAGCACAACCGAGCCGCCCAGCAGCGGAGCAGCCGAGCCGCCGAGCCGCCGAGGCGCCCTGCAGCCTAGCCGCACTGCAGCCGAGCAGCCCAGCAGCCCACCAACCGAGCCGCCGTGCAGCCGAGCCGCCCAGCAGCCGAGCCGCCGAGCCGCCGAGCCGCCCTACCACCGAGCCGCCCGAGCAGCCCTGTCCGGTAAGCACAGCCCCTTTGTCACTGCACTGCCCTTCCCCTACAGCGTGCACTGCTGGTCTACTGTTGTCATGGCTACCCCTAGTGTCCTAGCTTTTGACGCTGAGGGTCGAGCCATTGACTTTGAGGTCTGGGTCGACGACCTGCAGCTGTTCTTACAGTGCGATAGGGCAGACGGTCTCTCTCTCTTTGACCTCACCTCTGGTGCCTCTCCTGCCCCTGCTGCTGATGCTGACCCCACTGTTCGCTCCCAGTGGGCCACGCGCGATGCTGCTGCACGTCTTGCTGTGCGTCGCCACCTGCCTACCACTGAGCGCGCGCACTTTAGTCAGTACAAGAGTGCTCAGACCTTGTACGACGCTGTCGTTGCACGCTACTCTTCCCCTGCCACTGCTGCACTGAGCCGCCTCATGCTACCGTACCTCTTTCCTGACCTTGCTGCCTTTCCCACAATCGCTGACCTCATTACGCACCTCCGCACTAGTGACACTCGCTACCGCGCCGCGCTTCCTGCTGAGTTCTGCGCTAAGAACCCCCCCCCCTATGTACATCACTCTCTATTATATAGTCACCCGCCTCCCTGACTCCCTTCGCGTAGTCAGGGACCACTTCCTCTCAGTCTGTCCCACCACTCTCACTGTTGACCTCCTAGAGAAGGCCCTCCTAGCAGCGGAGAAGAGCATAGTCGCTGTAGGAGCCTCTCGTGGTGACCCTCGCACCCCCATCTTTGAGGGGTGTTCCGCTTCCCCCCTGTTGCCCTCTGTCGCCTCTGCTGCTACGGCCGACCTCGTTGGTTTTGAGTCGGTCGGTGCGGCGTCTGCCCCTAGCGGGAGACGCCGCTCTGGCAAGGGCAAGGGGGGCAAGGGCGCGGGTGGGGCTAGTGGGGGTGGTGGAGGTGGCGGTGGAGGCGGCGGAGGGAGTGGGGGTGGCGGTGGGAGTGGTGGCGGGGGTGGAGGTGGCGGTGGCAGCGGCGGAGGCGGAGGCGGCGGTGGCGGTAGCGGTGGGAGCGGAGGCGGCGGTGGCGGCGGAGGTGGAGGCGGCAGTGGTGGAGGAGGTGGAGCTGGTCGGGGTGGTGCTTCGCAGCGGAGCGGCTCCGGGAGTGGTCAGCGCCAGCACCAGCAGCAGCAGCAGCGTTCTCGGGACATCCCCCCTCCTCAGCAGCTCCGTGAGTGGTACACGCAGCGTCAGCGTGGTGGGGGTTTTGGCCCGTGCACCTACGTCCTTCGCTCCGGCGACCGCGCGGGTGAGCAGTGTGGGGGTGCCCACCCCACCCAACGCTGCTTTAGCCGCCTGACGGACGCTTGGCGTCAGCAGTTCTCGGAGGCTAGTGAGATCCCCCGCTGGGGAGAGCTGTCTAGGGCAGGCGTAGCTATCTATGATCTTGACTTTGATGCTATCCTTGCTACCATGTATGCTGTGACTATAAGTGATGAGGGTGACTGTTACCGGTGTTTCCCGCCCGACCCGGGCATTGGTACTGCTGCTCTAGGTGCTGGTGAGGCTGCTGCTCTAGGTGCCAGTGCGTCTGCGCCCTCAGGTGCTGGTGAGTCTGCGCTCTCAGGTACCACGTCGGCTTCGGCCTCCCTCACCTTCACACTTGACTCAGGGGCTTCTCGCTCCTTCTTTCGAGACCGCACCACACTCACGCCGCTTGGTCGGCCGGTTGCAGTCTCCCTGGCGGACCCCTCTGGGGGTCCTGTCCTTTCTCACTTCTCCACTGTCCTCCCGTGTTCTGCTGCCCCCTCTGGCACCTTGTCTGGTCTTTACCTCCCCTCGTTCTCTACGAACTTGGTGAGTGGTGCTGACCTGCAGGATACGGGGGTTCACCAGTTTACTCCTGCGAGTCAGCGGGTGACCCACTGCTCGGACGCTCGCACAGGCCGGCACCTTGCCACGTTTACGCGTCGGCCGGGGTCGAGCCTCTACACCGTGACCACTGGGTCTCCTCCTGTCCCTGCGTCTAGCCAGGTAGCAGCGTCGTGTCAGGTGTTTGCTGCAGCGTCCAGGTCTGGTCGTGAGTCTGCCCCCTGCTCCGGGCTGCCCCTCACTCCTCTCAGTTTCCCCCGACAGAGGCCCCGCCGCAGACGCTTCACATGGACGTGTGGGGCCCGGCCCGCGTCCGTGGACAGGGTCACGAGCGCTACTTCCTGCTGGTGGTTGACGACTACTCGCGTTACACCACAGTCTTCCCCTTGCGCAGCTCGGACTTTTCGGTTATGTCACTGAGGTGTTGATCGACTGGATCCGCGCAGCTCGTCTCCAGCTCAGGAGGAGCTTCGGCTCGGACTTTCCTGTTCTGCGTCTGCACTCTGACCGAGGCGGAGAGTTCTCCTCTGGCCTTCTGCGAGCCTACTGCCGTGCGCGAGGCATCCGCCAGACCTTTACGCTTCCGGACTCTCCACAGCAAAATGGGATTGCTGAGCGCCGCATTGGCATGGTCATGGACGTCGCTCGTACGTCCATGATGCATGCGGCTGCCCCCCATTTTCTGTGGCCGTTTGCGGTTCGTTACGCGGCGCATCAGATCAACCTTCACCCCAGGGTCTCCATGCCACAGACCTCCCCAGCTCTGCTGTGGACGGGGAAGGTAGGCGATGCGTCTGCGTTCCGTGTCTGGGGATCTCGGGCGTTTGTCCGCGACTTGTCTGCGGACAAGCTGTCCCCTCGTGCTGCTCCTTGTGTCTTCCTTGGCTTCCCCCCTCACGCGCCAGGGTGGCAGTTCTACCACCCCTCCTCTCGTCGTGTTCTGTCCTCCCATGACGTCACGTTTGACGAGTCGGTCCCCTACTACCGTCTCTTCCCCTACCGCACTCCTTCCCTCCCCCCGCCGCCGCACTTCCTTGTGCCAGGTCCCCCCCAGGTAGACCCCCTCCCCCCTCAGGGTCTTGCTCCTTCAGGTGTGTCCCAGGTAGACGCAGTCGAGCCGGTCGAGGTAGCTGGTGACTCAAGTACTGCTGCGGGTGCTGAGCCTGGGGGTGCTGACTCTGGGGGTGCTGCGCGAGTGGGTGCTGAGCCTGGGGGTGCTGACACTGGGGGTGCTGCGCGAGTGGGTGCTGAGCCTGGGGGTGCTGAGCTTGGGGGTGCTACGACTGGGGGTGCTGAGCCTGGGGGTCCTTCGCCTGGGGGTGCTGCGTCTGGAGTTGCTGAGCCTAGGGGTGCTGCGTCTGGAGCTGCTGAGCATGGGGGTACTGAGTGTGGAGCTGCTGAGCCTGGGGGTGCGGAGCCCGCGGCCGCTAGACCTGCTCGTGTGGCGTCTGGCGGTGCTGGGCCTGGTGGTTCTCCGGGTGCTTTGTCTCGGCGGGAAC